TCCATGATTTTCCAAAGATAATAGCTAGAGGCTCAGATACCTCCTCTATTAGCTCCTTGAGTATTCTAGGATGCATTTCATCAGGCCCTGGTTACTTGCAGGCATCTAATTTTTCTAAGTGATTTTTAACTTGTTCTTTTTTTATTTTATCTGCTAAATCTACCCCCTTCCCATTAGCATTCACTCTGTTAGGCATTTCTTCAGACTTTTCGGTGAAGACCAAAACAAAGAAGTCATTAAGCATCTCTGCCATTTCCAAGTTTCCTGTTACTGTTTCTCCCTCTTCACTGAGCAGTGGACCTACCCTGTCTTTGGTCTTCCTCTTGCTTCTAATGTATTGATAAAAAGTTTTCTTGTTTCCCTTTATTCCTGTAGCTCGTTTGCGCTCATTTTGTGCCTTTGCCTTTCTAATCTTGCCCTGCATTCCTGTATTGTTTGCCTATATTCATCCTTTGAATGATCGTACCATCCGGTATGTTTACTACCGTACTTTTCAGTCTGCTTTTAAATGTCCATACTTCATGAACTGCTCAGAGGGTGAACATTCCATTTCACTAAGGTTTATAAGATTTAAAAATTTGCTTCATTTCAGATTGGAATGAAACCTGAAAATTTTGAAATTCCCCTCTAAGGACAACTCAAAAAATGTATAAGAATGATGGGAACATTTTTATTTGATTTTGACTTTTTAAAATGTGTTATAATATACAATGCAAAATATTAAAAAAATGAAATGAAAAGTCATTTCAAACTGAACAATCAAAATGTTTCATTTAGACAGTGTCAAAACGGGATGTTTTGACATTGTTGGAAATTTCTTTTTATTTTTCCTAAATGAAATTTTGGTAAAATTGGCATGACTTTCCAAGGCATTTTTATTTCAATGGAATTGCATTTTACCTCAGAAAATGATTCTATCAAAGGTTTTTTTCCTGACCAGCTATAGTTTTCACCTCAACCATTGGAATGTCCTTAGAAACAATTTTACAACTTAATATACGTCAGGAAGATTTTTCCTGATACTCTGTACTTGAATCCATAGCTGCCACTAAGCATACAATCAGAAAAAAGTTTCT